ACATTTCACAAACTTAGTAATTTGTAACGGGGGGGGGGGGGGGGGGTTGGATGGCTGAATGGTTAGCGTGCGGGCGCTGTATCATAAAGTCTATCATTGAGTTGACTGTCGTGGTTTCGAATCCCCGGTTGTACGTGACAAGGAGTAGGGTCGCTTGTCCAACCTCCGATTTTCTCCCACTGCTAAAGACCCCTACGCGCAAGCGAATTATGTAAATAAAAATTAAACTATATGTTAGTCCCGAAATGACCTAGTTTGTGTCGAGTAGACGTTAAACCCCATTTCTCTCTCTCTCTCTAGTAATTAGTAACACACTGGCTAGCAAATGAGGGGTTCAATTTCCGTGTTGGTCGAGAAAAATGAAATGAAATCGGGTTTAATGTCCTACTGTTCTGCTCCTAAACTGAGCTAATGAAGACGAGCATACGCCATACAGTATTCTATGAAGGAAATTTTGCCCAGGCAGCTGCGCTATGGCCTACTCTTATATCAAGTTCCAACTACCAAGGGATCTTTCATGTGCACTCCTGTGTGTACACGTGACCTCAGTTTTTCATCCCTGACTAGACAGCTGTTCTTGTCCGGCCCTCCGTCCTGTATCACTGACAAGGGGAAAACACGCAGGAAAATCTGGATGAACTTTCTCAGCCAATGCAGGGATCGAACACCCGACCTCCAGGCTAGCGAGTCAGCGTCTTACTCACTTAGCCAACGTGATCCCCATGTTGGTCGAGAAAGTTCCCTTTGTTAGTAGTGGTGTAGGACAGAGGACCTCAAAAAAACAGTGTCTAGTCCATCACGTGGGTGTGCACGTAAAAGAGCCCTTGACATTTGGAATTTGAAATGAGAGTAGATCATTCATTCATTCGTTTTCTCTTTGTGTGTCACCTACAGTTCGCAACTATTAAAGGAGCTAGATCTCTATTCTTGGGCACTTAGAAATGAAATGAAATGAAATGAAATGGAGTTTAACGTCCTACTTTTCTGCTCCTAACCTGGGCTAATGAAGACAGGCATACGCCATACAGTGTGCTATGAGGGAAATTTTGCCCGGACAGCGGCACTAAGGCCTACTCTTATATCGAATTCCAACTGCCAAGGGATCTTTTACGTGCACGCCAATGTGTACACGGGACCTCGGTTTTTCGTCCCATCCGAACGACTAGACAGCTTTCCTTGTCAGCCCCTCTGTCCTGCATCACTGACAAGGGAGAACCACGCTGGAAAATCTGGATGAACTTTCTCGGCCAATGCAGGGATCGAACACCCGACCTCCAGGCTAGCGAGCTAGCGTCTTACCCACTTAGCCACGTGATCCCCCACTTAGAAATGGATATAAAATGTAATGAAATGAAATGGGGTTTAACGTCCAACTGTTCTGCTCCGAACTGGGCTAATGAAGATGGCCATACACCATACAGTGTGTTATGAGGGGAATTTTGCCCCGACAGTGGCACTACGGCCTACTCTTATATCGAATTCCAACTGTCAAGGGATCTTTTACATGCATGCCAATGTGTACACGGGACCTCGTTTTTTTTTTTATCCCATCTGAACAACTAGACAGCTGTCCTTGTCAGGCTCTTCGTCCTGCATCACTGACAAGGGGAAAAAACGCCGGAAATCTGGATGAACTTTCTCGGCCAATGCAGGGATCGAACACCCGACCTCCAGGCTAGCGAGCCAGGGTCTTACCCATTTTGGTCCCATTTTAATGACTAGACAGCTGTCTTGTCAGGCCCTTAATTGTTAGTATCATGACATTAAACTGACATTTGTTTTACGTTTTACAACTAATATCAGGTTTATGTTAGAAAACTAACGTTAGATTTACGTCAGAAAACTAACGTTAGATTTACGTCAGAAAACTAACGTTAGATTTACGTCAGAAAACTAACGTTAGATTTACGTCAGAAAACTAACCATAAACTAACGGTTAGAAACCTGATGTAAAATTTACGTTAGATTAACGTTAGAATTATAACCAATAATACATATATAATTATTATGTCTGAATTCCGACTATATATCAATTGTTAGAATGTGCACACACTTGTAATGTTATTTAATCAAGAAGTATTCAAAGTGAAAAAAATTGGTTAGTAATCCGTCATAAAGTTTACGTTACATTTACGTCATTTTCTGACGTAAAAGTAACCATAACCATTATGACGTAAAAGTAACGTAAATTTAACCAAAGAATTTTACCATTATCGGACGCTAACCAAAATCTAACCATAATGACGTAAACTTTACGTAAATCTAACCATCAATGTTAAGTGGGTAACTACACATCCTTGGTAATTTCACCGCTGAAGTCATTAATGGTAGACCAGGTGACATCCTTAAAAAAGCGAGGAATTTTGTCTTTTGCTATCATTAATTGTACCCTTAATTCATCTTCTATAACGTCCTTAGATGTTGTGGTATCTTCCTTGAGCTTGATGCTCGTATCCAGGCCTTTCCTGGGAAAACTCTTTTGGTCCTTTTCTCTTACAAAAAGTTTGCCACAGTGGCAACACGTTTCATTAGGAGTCGTAGACAGGTTGGCATTGCAGAATAACAGAGCACAATATAGACTCCGCCCATTTTCCATATATGGTAAAAGGGGCGTGTAGTGTTGGTGCATGTCTAAAGCACCGTAACCATGAATGGACTTCAATGGCGATGTATGTAGGATAAAAACAACGCTTCATTAATTTAAACGCGAATATTTGGAATTCGGCGATAGTTGTGGCACTTCATTGGCCTCTTTAAGTTTAATTAGTCATAATAGTATATAAAATTATCTTATTTTTAAGATGTTACATGCATTAATAATGAAATTGAGTTTGCCACTTGAAACTTAACGCACCCGATCCTAGCTAAAAACAAGCACGTCAGCAAATCTCAACGTTTTTAGCCATGTTCTCGTAGCTAGATTGAACCATGTATTACAGAAACTGAACTTAAGAATCTATATCAATTTCATTTAAATGCAATCAATCGAGATTTTTAGCTGAACCGCTCTGCGTGAAACAAATGATAGGACAGTTGTGTGGTATTAAATCATCCCTTATTTTCATAATATTTAAAATATCACGCAAATCGTGATGGTCATTCAGCTCGAATGAAGAGTCGATTTTATTTGATTTGAAACCTTGTCTTTAGAGGATCTCCGACGATGATGAAACGATAGAATGTGCTAACCAAAAAAAGATTAGAAAGTGATATTGCAATTTACCTATTAGACATCCGATGTAGAGGCGTACCGCGGTGTCAATTACTCGACCCTCCAATGCTCGGGTTTTATTATAGAATGCAGAGCAGAAGCATTCTATTTGTTTATATACTCAGCCAAATTAAAAACTTGACACTGATGAATTTCAACAAATATTTTTTTATGGTAAGTCAAATAAATTTTAAAGTGTTTCTAACGATAGTAAGTAGTAAGAAGCCTTTAATTTCATAAAATTGTAAAGTCACGTGGATCATGTGAGATGTTCTGAGATCCATGAAAAGACATTGTGTGGCAGTACGAGACGTCTCGCTAGAGGAGGCCACAACCGTTACTAAACACTTTATTCCGATTGTTCTCCAAGTCTGTGAATTTCATTTTGGGGGGGGGGGGTACTGTGACATCACGAACGTTATCAGTGTCAAGGACTTTCGGCGAGACGTATTCTTGCTTTCTGTTGATGTCAAGGTCGTCGGTGCACAACATAACACTAAAATAGTTGCCTTAAACCAAATATTAAAAATCTAGTCCAAAAAATCCCGAGTGTCAAGTTTTTAATTTGGCTGAGTATATATCCCGTTATCACTTTGGATTATTACTACAGCCAAGGCAAATTCGGTTGATTCTTCCTATAAGATATCAATAAACATAACCGTGGACAATTTTATCTTTTTGTACAAAGTCCGTGTCATATTCCTTTAAATCTCATTTGTTGATAATAAGTTTTATGTTTTTAGCTGACGCTAACTGGCATGCATTTCTACGAGAATAGGGGGAGAGGGAAGGGGAGAAACAGCACACTAGTTATATCATTTATTACGTTGATCCCCTTACATGGTATCTTGTATTCGGTTACAGATGTCAGTGTGAAAGGTGTAATTTAATGTCCACTGAAGATAAGTCTGTAGCTTATGCTGTATTGAAAGATAAAATGCCGGTTTTCGAAGAACTCGGGTACTCCATACATCGCATGAATGCCGACGCCGGATACCAAAGCAGAACACACTGTACGGAAAAGGAAAACTGACTGTACCTATTGATACAAATTCCGATAGATTATGTCAAGAATTTAGTGAGAAACACGAACTTTAAAATATTAATAATAGAAATAGTATACATATTGATTGTTTGAGAAAACAATGCTGTGGGGTGGATATGTGCCAGTCTATATAGATCAACTTCTCCAAGGAACCTCAGATATGGCCGAAGAAAAGGCTGCACAAGGACAACCTTGCCATTGGGGAATGCTCACTAGTCTGCGGGTTCATTAGTCCACCGATATCTATTATTATGGGTTGGGCTCATTAGTCCACCGATATCTATTATTAGGGTTTGGGCTCATTAGTCCACCGATATCTTTTATTATGGGTTGGGTTAGGGTTCATTAGTCCACCGATATTTGTTATTGATACCCATACTACTGCATCCGCGGACTAGTGAACCCCTCTCTTGCCATCCCCCGAAATAGCCATTGCAATTGTGTACATTTTTGTCATCCATTCTCTTATGTATGTATGTGTAATATTCCAACTTGAGGACATATATAAACATAATAAAAGACCAGGATAAATAATCTAAGTTTAAATTATTCTAAGTCGAAAATCTTGTGGAATGTGGTACCAGACAAGCATATGGGGGGGCTTTATAAATATATCTTGTGGAACTCCTAAGGTAAAAAAACACTGTCAAAATTATTTTGAGTCAAACATGGGTTACCACATATTCCTATAAACGGGTCCGAGAAGAAGTTTTTGTAAAAATTATTTTTATTTCTTAAGGCAAATATCTTGTAAAATAACACCCGAGACCCAAAACATTATCAAAAGTTAAAAATCTTGTGGAATGTACTTAGATTTTATAAGTCCAATATCTTGTGGAACTTCTTGTGCTGACAAATGCAACACAAATTCGCCCAAACCTTGCCATAGATGAGTTAATGCCTTTCAGAAAGTGTAATGGACGGCCGAGTGCTCTTTTATAGCCACAAACAATTAATCGACATTAATCCAATTGCTTCTCCACATGCTGATATACATATACAAGGTTGGTCTTGCACGTTTGTTGAAATGCCATTGGTGTAATACCATTTCCTTTATATGATCTGTCTAGTTGATGTTGTATTGCAACAACAGAAACACGTAGGTCAGATATAAACCACCAATCTGTACTGACATTAAAAAAAAAAGAAAAATTTGCGTCACAGATTGTAATAAAAGTTTCTATTCTTTGTATATGTCACAGTCAATGTCTACAATCAGGCAATGTGTACAATGCCTTTGCAACCCTAACCCCACCCCTAAAATGTACACATTAACTGGTATATTTCAGGCATTGTACACATGTCCTTATGTGGAGACTTAACCTCTCCCCCACCCCAACCCTAAACCTAACCCGGCAATGTACACATTGACTGGTATATTTCAGGCATTGTACACATTGCCTGTCACATATACAAGATGTTTTATTAGTATAAATAAATAGTCGCCACAGATATTACAAACAATAGTGCATTCGTAAATGAGTGGACAATAGGCATGACCGCGGCAGATTGCGGTAAGAAATGAAATGGGGTTTAACGTCCTACTGTTCTGCTCGTATGCTGGGCTAATGAAGACGTGTGCTATGAGGGAAATTTTGCCCGGGCAGCGGCACTATCGCCTACTCTTATATCGAATTCCAACTGCCAAGGGATCTTTTACGTGCTTTCTAATGTATACACTGGACCTCGGTTTTTCGTTTCATTCGAAGGACTAGACAGCTCTCCTTGTCAGGCCCTCCGTCCTGCATCACTGACAAGGGGGAACCACGCCGGAAATTTGGATGAACTTTCTCGGGAAATGCAGGGATCGAACACCCGACCTTTAGGCTAGCGAGCCAGCGTCTTAGCCACGTGATCCCCTATGGCGGTAAGTGATATGTACCTACACCCACACAATTGCGATGCGGCACCGGTTTACTTATTAGGAAAATTTGCCGTTTTTAGAATGAAGTTCTCAGTGCAAAGTTGTCCTTGGTTTAAAGTAAATAGGACAAACTTGGAAGAAAAATAGCTTCAGACTTTGAAAGCTTTGTATATATGATAAAACATTCTTCAAACGCCTTCTCATGGGCGACACCGTTGGTAATCCGGGAACTTGAAAGTAGTTCCAATGGCGGGTACTGAAGTTTGCCGAGTGTGTGAGTGGGTATGACCTATTTAACCTAATACGTAATAGGGGGCTAAGGCTCAACGTCAATGAATACAATAAAGGTCAAATAGTTTAATAGTATAAGAACTTCACAATGCAATTTTATAATGATAGGTATTTAAAGACAGGTGACTGGTGAGAAATGTGTTGAATGCAGCTTTCAGTCATCGTTGGTGTTACATTTCCTTGTTACAGTAGTTTTTTTTTTATCAGTAATAACACTTCTATAGCGCAGTGGCTTAACCGAGTAATGTTTTTGCTAAGTTATATACTTAATTTTTAATTTATATATTCACGGAAAGTAGAATTATTTAGTAAAAATACCTTGTGAAAAGGAACAAATATGTTGGTAGATTTCGATGAACACGGTTGTTAACCCTTATATTTTCAGAAAGTTCAAACTGTCTCAAAATGTCTGCACATGGCACAATTTGCGAAGGAATTGAAATTAAGATTCCAATGCGATTATGTGCCGGGAAAGCATAACGACACTAAACTCACCGTTAAAATAACTTCTTTTGTGATAGTAAAAAATCCCATGGCTGTAAAACCTATTGATGTACCAGTTAATTTAGACAGAAATAACGTCAACTGAAAATATAGTATTGAAAGGATATGAGGATTACGTTACATTTACTGACTGGTGACCTTTAGAACCCGGGCTCTAGACCATATCTGTCCGTATTCCACATGTTGCTTCCATATTAACAGCTGAACCCCAGGCTATTCTTCAGGTTTTGGAGTTTCTTCACCAGTTTTAAATCACATCTTTATCCCATATCCAAATTTTAACACCTTTGTTATAAAGATTTTAATGGGAACTTGCAGGCACAAACCAACTTCATTACATTAGGCTTTTAGGAGACTGGCCAAACTATAGATCCAATAGGAGGGGCTCTCGTATAGGTCATACTTTTTAAACTCACATTTTCATCTTAAAACGACCCCTTCGGCTAGAGTGAACAATGTCAAGTTCCTTTTGACAGATAAGCACATTCTGATTGAGTGCAAACATCTCAAAGATATTCCGTTGTCAGAATTTATTTGGCCAACCGGGTTTATATTGTGAAGCGTTAGACTTTTTTTAAAGACACATTTTATAGAAATTTTTAATTTGTATGTATACTTGTTTTCCATGTTTTATTTTTTAAATATTGAAATACATAAAATAATTAACTTTAATAGTGTTAACTGTGATTCATGTTTATTGTTATGTATATTAATATTTTGTGATTTCATTTAATGTGTCTCAGAAATATCACCAAATGTTTGGCGCAATATATCCCGGTTGGAGCTCACGTGCCATTAAACAATATTTCATTGATTCATTAGGACCCTGGCAGGTGATACTGAGCTGCCGACACCATTTCATCGTGTGTATCCAGCGTTATTTTCTGTAAGGCATTGAACAATTCGTAAATATAGTTGAATATCTGAAAACATTCAATTTTACTGACCAATTATTGAACCGTTCAATTTCCCGAGTCGTGTTTAAAGTAGTAAGTGTGTCCAATTACGAGAGAGAGAGAAATGGGGTTTAACGTCCACTCGACACAAACTAGGTCATTTCGGGACTAACATATGGGTTAATTTTATTTCAATAATTCGCTTGTGCGTAGGGGTCTTTAGCAGTCGGAGGAAACCCGAGGACCCGGAGAAAACCCACGCGGTTGGACAGGCGACCCTACTCCTTGTCAAGTACAACCGGGGATTCGAAACTACGCCAGTCGACTCAATGACAGACTTTATGATACAGCACGCACGTGCTAACAATTCAGCCATCCAAACCCCATGAGGGGTTCTCAACGTTTTCAAGCAAAAAATATACAGGTCTTTTTTACAAAAGAAAGTGACAACTAATTAACCAATAGGGACACCATATAAATATATTAAGTAAATTCACCGCTCAAGAATAAAACCAAATACTCAAAATAAGTAACATCTCGTATTTTTTTGATCGGTGAATATACTTCAGGCCCGTAGCTAGCGGGGGGAGGGGGATGGCGCCCTTTTACATTGGACGCAATACGAAGCAAACAACCAACGTGCCCATATCAGTATGGTCGGTACATAAAGCCGATTGACATTGTTTGGGCGCCCACGACGAGATTTGCGGGGCGCCCAATCCATTGTCACTTGGCTTTATGTGAGTCATGAGGCGCCTCACCATAATGACCCACACGATTAATACGCCAATATCGCAAATTCATCTTCAAAAATGAAGTTTTCCGTCAGTTTCAGGTGCAAGCCCTGTTTTCCCAATTTTTCTGGTGGGGGGGGGGAGAGCAACCCTAGACCGTTCTCCGAAGGGAGGCGTGTCCACGGTGCCGTTCCCCATGGACCGTCATGTTTACGTACATCGGCGCCCCAAGACTTAAAAAATGAATGAGTGACAGACGAAATGATATTCATTTAACTGTTATATCAACCAAATTCTACATTTCAAATGGAAAACCCAGATATTATAAAAGAAATTTGGGAACACTTACTTCGCCCAATTGTTCTGTTGTCAGTCCATGTGTCTGCAGATCATAGATATTTTCTAATGGCGAATGGGCCTACCAAAAATAAAACAATAAACGTTTATGAATCTAATCCGATAAAGGAAATGAAATGAAATGGGGTTTAACGTCCTACTGTTCTACTCCGAACTTGGGCAATGAAGACGGGCATACGCCATACAGTGTTATGAGGGAAATTTTGCTCGGGCAGTGGCACTACGGCCTACTCTTATATCGAATTCCAACTGCCAAGGGATCTTTTACGTGCACGCCAATGTGTACACGGGATCTCGGTTTCTTCCCATTAGAACGACTAGACAGCTGTCCTTGTCAGGCCCTCCGTCCTGCATCACTGACAAGGGGGAAATCACGCCGGAAAATCTGGATGAACTTTCTAGGCCAATGCAGGGATCGAAAACCCGAACTTCAGGCTAGCGAGCCAGCGTCTTACCCACTTAGCCGTGATCCCCAATCCGATTAAAGATACATGCATGATATTGCTACGGAGATTTGATGGGATTCCGACACAATGATTGCTCCGCAGAATGACACTTTACACCCCCTATCAAAACTGCTATGAAATTGCAAATGTCCCCTTTTCTCCAATTCTAGACCAAAAAGTCACCAAAAAATGCAGTTAAAGGGAGAAACAAAATTAAAGGAAAAATAGTCTAATTAAAACTTGCACTACATCATTAAATAAGGGGAAATAATTACTAGTCTTAGTCAGTTTAATATTATCTCCCTTTACATAAATCGCTAAATTTGAATATATAGCATTCAATTATGTAAGGTTTAATGGTCGAGAGCGAGACATTGCGTAATATATTGCAACAACAAGAGGGCCGTGAGGCCCGAGTGTTTTTACAATACATTACGCAATGGCTTAAGCTCGAGACCATTAAATGACTTAAAATACAGACACTCCGCACGTGCTTTTAAAGTGATATACGTCACACGAGTTGGCAAGTTGCTCGTACGGTTATTTGAAATAATAGTAAGCCAAGATCAAAGGGTGACGTCACACCTGTCTTTTAATATAACTTATATGCATATCGTATGGAATACCTGACAACTCATCCCAAAGATAACTCATCCCAACTTAAAAAAACCCCACTCATTCCAAGTTACACATAAATACCACAACAAATTACTGTATTTTATTTCTGTTCTTTTATTTATTAAATTAATCAGTAATATAAGAATTTATCACATCAACAATTTATAAAAATGTTAATTTATTGTTTAGTACATCAACAATTTATTAAATAATACATTTTATTATTTCATCAACTAATACATTTTTATATAAATAAATGTTTTTTCTTCTGTCAGTTTGTCCTTCAGTCAGTCAGTCATTTAGTAACTTATTTTTTCTTCTGTCTGTTTGTCCTTCAGTCAGTCAGTCATTTATTAAATTAGCCCGTTTGTCCTTCAGTTTGTCGGTTCATTGATTCCTCCACGTCTCTTTAATAACTGGTTAGAGCCAATTGCCTGGTTTGTGTAGGAATTCCACAGTTGAAATAACTTGAACTGTGTAGATCTTGTCTGCTTTTGCTGGTGCCTTCGCAATTTCCCCTCAGATACGATTTTAACACACTCCTAGTCGGGATGGTTCACATGCTGCTTGTCATCCAGTTTTCCAAAATGTAGTTCATTACAGCTTTTATGGGGCCTGTAATAGTACTTGTCTTATAACCTGTTTTAAAGTTCAGGATGAGTTGTCTTTTATATTGGAATGAGTTGTCATATATGATGTATGCATATAACTAAAAAATACTTTTATGACAGCTTTATCATAAATCCCATTATGTCCATCTGTTAAATTTAGGTGATCCGGTGGGTAAGACGCTGGCTCGCTAGCCTGCAGGTCGGGTATTCGATCCCTGCATTAAATTAGCCGAGAAAGTTCATCCATATTTTCCGGCTTGGCCCCCAAATGTCAATGATGCAGGACGGATGTCCTGTCAAGGACAGCTATCTAGTCATTTGGATGGAACGAAAAACCGAGATCCCGTATACACATCGGTGTGCACGTAAAAGATCCTTTGACAGTTGGAATTCGATATAAGAGTATGCCGTAGTGCCGCTGTCCGGGCAAAATTTATCTCATAGCACACTGTATGGCGTATGCCCGTCTTCATTAACCCAGTTCGGAGGAAAACAGTAGGACGTTAAACCCCATTTCATTTTCTGTTAAATTTATATTGATGATATGACCTAGGAATGAAATGACATCGCCATCCTGTCGAGACGGACAGGCGACGTATTATCCCGCGCTATTACCCTGGGTCAGTTGTACCCACTGGGGATACCCGTCTCCAGGGTCGCAGCAAAGCTTTAGTTATTACATCTATAGTTCTTGATGAATATTCCTTTAAGGGACAGTCTTTAGAAGCTTGCGTCTAATGAACAGATACATATATAGCCTTTGAAGATGGGGTAGTTATTTCCAATTAAAAAAAGGGAGTTGGATGGCTGAATAGTTAGCACGTGCGCGCTGTAACATACGGCCTGTCATAGTCAACTGGCTTTCGATTCCCCGGCTGTACGTGACAAGGAGTAGCTAAAGACCACTACGCGCAAGCGAATTATTGAAATAAAATTGAACCATGTATTAGTTCCGAAATGAGCTAGTTTGTGTCGATTGGACGTTAAACGTCATTTCTCTCTCTACAATTTCTCTCTCTACAAAATGGAAAAAACGCGCTACATAAAGTGTCGGTGGATGAAATCGCTCGGTATGCTTACTCTCTCGCACAATATGTGATACCAATTCCACAGCCATGACATCTCGTGATGAAATACGGACAAAATGGTAAATTTTGGTGTTATAAGAAAGAGAGAGGGAGGTTTAACGTCCATTCGACACGGACTAGGTCATTTCGGGACTAACACATGGTTCAATTTTATTTCAATGATTCGCTTGCGCTTAGGGGAGGACCTGGAGAAAATCCACGAGGTTGGACAGGCAACCCTACTCCTTGTCAGGTACAACCGTGAAATCAAAACCACACCAACTGACTCAATGAGAGACCTTATTATACAGCGCGCACGCGCTAACCATCGGCCATCCAACCCCCATGAGAGGGGGGGGGGGTAACGTCCATTCGACACAAACGAGGTCATTTCGGGACAAACACATGGTTCAATTTTATTGCATTAATGTGCTTGTGCGTAGGGGTCTTTTGCAGTGGGGGGAAACCGGAGGACCTAAAGAAAACCCACGTGGTTAATGTTATGATACTTACAGATTGGTTTACAGATGCAATAAACCAGGAGGCTATAAAAACTGTAAGAATGTTAGTGATGAGCCAGGAAAATTTTAGGATGACGCCTACAATTGAAGTTTCTTCAGTTTTTACCAACAGATATATGATGAAACAAGCAAGAAAGATGTTACATCCAATTACGTTGACTATCCACAATCTAAACGGGTTATCGAGATGTTCGGTCATTCGGCATAGTTTTAAATGAATCTGACGAACAATGTTCAGATTTTCCCGGAACCTCTGGGCGTTGCTCACGAAATTTTGTAAGCACCGTGTAACCATTACAAAGGCCTGCGCTAAGCTGTAACAAATCACCATTATAAAAATATTTGGAAGTATCCACGCAGCATAGTCGAATAATTCTAACATCAGAATGAGTATAGTGATTCCAGTAGTGGCTGGAAAAGGATTGGTCAGCATTACCGGACTTAGGAACGTTAAAGTTGAGACTAGGGTGAACGTGACTTGAAAAATAAAATACAGTATGGCGACAAAGAGAAATAGTTTACATATTCTTCTCATCTGATTTGTTTTCTTGTTGATGTAATTTGAACAACTCTCATCCATAATCATCTGGTACCAATTTTTATAGAAGCAATTCCAAGTTCCTTTCCGACAGTGCCATAGTAATATAGAAACAGTGATGGCGCATTGTATAAGCCACGTTTGCTTGATGACTCTGTTAACTGTTTGGTTGGGGTGATAATCAAATCCAACCCAAAACGACGGAATATATCTCAATACATTAATCCAAACCAACACAATAACAGCGACACAGTATAATTTGTGGAATTTACCTAGCGTCGGCCAAGTCGCACTTTTACTAGATTCGTCATCGCCCTTATCATAATAGATACCGAAAATCTTCATTAATTTTAAAATTGGTTTCAAAATATCGTAAATACAGTACCTCAAATCAGTCATTTGATTGTCTGCCATCCTCACAGATTCAGGCATTTAGAGTGACTCGAACGCGAAGTACCTTCCACTCGCATTTAAAGTTAGAATCGATACACTGCGTGAGATTCAAATTTAACATTGTTTTATTTCCCAATTGATATTCCTTTTAGATACCCAGAAACAACACGACCGTATCATATTTATTGTAATAGCAATTTATACACCCTATTTTATTTATACACCCTACAAAGTAGCAAATTCTGTTGTATCACCATCAACTTATTAACAACTTTAATGGAACACGAACTAAAACTAATATTTAATCACGACCATGGGAATAAATTACATCAGTGGGTTAAATGAGATGTTGACACTATAAAGTTGATATTGGCTAACCAACAAATGACTTTTAAAAATGAATACAGACCCCTGCAACGAAATACGTCACACGGATCGAAAATTTTAACTAGTATAAATAATGTACGCTTTGCACATTACCCGTACTATTATTTGAAATAATGGTACGCCAACATCAAAGGATGACGTCACATCTGTATTTTAAGTAAAGGGATAATAGTAAACATGCTTAGATTGATTTTTGTCAGCAGTTATAGTGGATTTAAACTCTAAATACATCTTCAAAAATAACTGTCAAATCCATTACAACATTGACCTTTAATTCATTAGGGTGCAGTATAGCCCGTTTGCAGCTGGCGTGCCATAGAACTCAATTTAATTTTATACATATGTTGTTTTTTTTAGCAAACCTCGGATGGCTAGAACTGGATATCTGAGTTTGTCGCTATGGTCGGGCATGTTTTTATCCGCAAATATATCTTGAAACTAAACCCGTATATACTTTTCGCTTTTTTTTTTAGAAATGAACTGTTACATCGAAATAACAGGAAAAGAACTTCCTGGTGAAATATGCTGACGTGCCATTAAATTAATTATATTCATTCATTCCCAGGGAAGTAGTCGCAGCTGGTGATTTAGTATTGGCTTCATAAAGATCAGTAGCGTTTGATTCATAAAAATGACATTATCAAGCATATGATGCTTTGAAAAGCATATGATGCTTTGAAAAGTATATGTTGCTTTGTACAAACCAAAAGGTGTGGATACAACTCATCTCTATAGGGCAACCTAACTCCTCTTCAGGATAGATAAAATTCGAATAATCATCAAATTTCTATATAATTATATAGAAATAATTAAGTTCTGGCGTTCTTAGAAAATATGCAATTCTCGCTTTAAAGACACAAACGTGCATGAGAATTGTACCATTTCTAGTCTGGAAATGGCCTAGTCTTAAAACACCATCTCTCTTCTGCCTAAAATAGCGCAGTCGTAGCATAACGTAGAACAGTATTGATATTTGAAAATTTGTCTTGTCAGATATTTTTACAGAAAATAAAGGGGCATAACCCTTATCAAATTAGTACGTATTAAAAAAACAAATCTAAAATATTTTCTTTTTCTTTTATTTCAGGTAAGTTTCATATGATCATTTATTCATAATACAATACAACAATAAGAAGAGGGGACAACACAGATCAATGTTATTTTACTGCAGATTTGACGATTTTTACTTACATTTAACCTGTTTAACCCGTCGTCATTAGCCGAAACCGAGCAGAACAGTAGGACGTTAAACCCTATTTCATTTCAATTTTTTAAAATATTGGGATCGAAAACTCGAAAGGCGGTCCTTGCAAGGAGATTTTTATAAGTTGATCCAGTGTAGAAGTGGTGAGGCGGTTTTTAATTTGGTTTTTATTAAATTGTGTGTAGAAAAGCCATTTTCGCATTCTACACTGGAGACAGGCAAAATGCGTCCGTGAGTTGCTGTTATTTGTCTCTTAAATTCACCATATGTTTGGCACAAAACAGCTAGGGTATGGAGCTGACGTGCCATTAAACATTTCATGCGTTCTTTCTCACACAAATGATTATTACCTCAAAATCGATACACTCCATAAACAGAGATATCAATCTTTTGAAACGTGAATGACAATGCGGTTTGAAATGACACCGGTCGTTATTTTCCAATTAGTATTCCGTTTTTAGATACTTAGGTACAATCACATGGAAACAATCGTGCCGTTAATGTGGATATTTTAATTTGCTCCGATCAGGTTTCCTTATGGGTTAGTGTTTATTGTATACATTAACAAATTATTTTAATACAGCGGGGCTAAATTAATATTTACATAGTGTTATAGAACCATGTTAATGTTATTGTTTACAATTATTATCAGGGGATTAAAGCCTATTTAAAGTAATATCTGTTGATCAAGTAATTTGTGAATTGATTGACCGTTATCAATATCCCGATCATGCAATCCATACAGGGATGTAATATCGTGGAGGAGTGTTCATTTTAGGGGGGGGGGGGGTGTCTCTGGCCCTCTGAGACAACGGATAATATTGGTTGAGCTGTTCTGTCGATTTAGTTTCAATATGGACTTTTAATTTGACAAGCAATAAAACTATGCAAACCAGTTTCACTCCAAAACGAGTTTATATGTACATAGAGTTCTAATAAATACATAACCATGTGGCTCAAGACTGAGAAAGAGGGTGTCGGGGTCGTCACGTGAGAGGATAATGTACTGGGACAGGTTTTTCTAGAGCTGATTTTAGAGTAGATGTCAATTCTGTGTGGTGATCAGGCGTTTGAGGGGGCTTTTCCGAGATACGGTGTGGGATGGGACAGGGGGTGTGGCAAGGAACAACGTATAGTCGTTCAGATGATACGTAAAAGATCCCTTGGCAGTTCGAATTCGATTTGCGAGTAGCCCATAGTTTCACTGTCCAGGCAAAATTTACCTCATAGCACACTTTATTAGCCCAGTTGGAGCAGAACAGTAAAACGCTAAACCCCATTTCATATCCTTAAGCGACAACCATACATCTGGGGCAATACCTTTCCGAAAACACCCAGGATCGTTAGAAATCATCTTTAGCCCAAGAATAATTATCTCTGGAAATCAGACTTCATGACCCCAGTCGGAGCAAAATAGTAAAGACATTAAACCCAATTTATTTAATTTCATTAAGCCACAACCAAACATCTGGGGAAATAACTTTCCGAAAACACCCAAGATCGTTATGAATCGTCTTTAGCTCAAAAATATTTATCTCTGAAAATCAGGCAATAATACGATGATATATATGTTTATAAACTGAGACCATGTTTACCCATAAAAAAATATTTCTAGACATGTAGAATTGATCTACATCACCATTACCAAACATAAAAAAAGGTCTATACTACAAAAGAATAATTTAAAATCAGAAAATAATTAAACGCGGTTGAGTGATTACGCTTCTGGAAAAACGAAAACAGCGTAGATCTAGTGTGGCTTCGATTCTTCTATTAGTGCAGGATTTGTGGATAAGGTTCATACAATCTGATTAAAATACAGATCTATATTTCGTTTCGTTTTTTTAATACTTTGACAAGTAAAACGAAATTTTGAACTATAAAAAACATAACGGAATAGGATCTGTGTTTTAATTAGATTCTGGAACAACGAAAACATTCCCGTAGACCTGGTGTGGCTTCTATTCTTCTATTAGTGCAGAATTAGTGGATAAGCTTCATAGATATGACCAGAGATTTTGTTCAGACAATTTATCCAACTTCCTTTCTTCTAAATTAAACTCCAATCGACAAACTAGTGTCTGTTAATGCTCCGTGGAGTTTCGTTTGATTAATTGATCCAGCAGCTGATCTTAGGTGATCCTAAATTGCAGCAACAGAAAAAAATAGGTCAAATACAAACCAACAATCTGAAATAGAAAATTAACAATTAATTTTTACCGAAATCCGCTAATCGTCATTTTAACGATCTGTATTATTGAACAGGCATGTTAGGTTATCATGGCCAGTGGTCATACAATAGAGATCCGTGTAACACGTCAGATGATCTTTACAACTGTCAAAGTACTTAATGGGAGACTACTGTTCTAAACTAGGAGCCACGGTGGCTAAGTGGAGATCGCGTGTTCAATCCCCGCATTGGCCGGGGGGGGGGGGAAGAGTGGGTAAGACGCTGGCTCGCTAGCCTGCAGATCGGGTGTTCGATATCTGCATTGGCCGAGAAAGTTCATCAGTGATGCAGGGCGGAGGGCATGACAAGGGCAGCTGTCTAGTCCGTCGGACTGTCCTTAATGGGAGATACTACTGTTCTACACTAGGAGCCACATTGGCTAAGTGAGTAAGACGCTGGCTCGCAAGCCTAGAGGTCGAGTGTTCGATCCGTGCATTGGCCGAGAAAGTTTATCGGGATTTTTCGACGTGATTTCCTCTGATGAGTTGCAGAAAATACTGTTCTAAACTACCAATAACCCACACAAACTACAATATCAGTCCAACCAGGACTCCTGTTTATTCAGTATTTACAAAGATATGAATATTTAAAAGATATGAATATTTAAAAATCTCGCAATATTCGGCATCCAAAGCCGACGATATGTATAAATGTCAGCGCCACCTATACGCATTGTCATAAATCCTTTTTATGGCCCCTTGTTTAACCGATATAATCATATTCTGAAAATAATATTCCTTTAAAGATACATTATGGGAGATTAGATAAAGAGGCTAGCGATGCCATCGAAATTTTGGGCCTAGCCTCGATCATCATTACTAAAGTCAGAACAATAAAAATAAAACAGTCCCGATTATCCATTTTTTGATTAAATTATCAATGAACATTGAGCAGCAGATCAGGTTCTAATTCAGTAATAGCAGGCTAGCGATGACATCGAGGGTTGATTATGGTCTGGATAAGTTAATTAATGTCTAATTAATCATTTAAATAACATTTCAGGCCTAAAGAAAGACCTGCAAGAGGCAGATTTAGCTCTTGCATAATGTATGTTTAAATGTTAATATTTAAGTACATTTTTGTGAGAAGTCGCCAAAGCGCTACTCCATCTTGGTCTTGTAGGGGACGCTCTTAGGAAGAAAAGTCCCCGACTCGGCCAAATCTTGTACGCTTGATATGACGCCTGACAGGATTGTTTCTTGGGCAATTGATTGACTAATTCGATTTTTATGACGTCACAATTCTGAAATGGCTGCGATTACGCAATAGTTCGTGATCCATTGTACGCTGGTACTAGGAAAAACTCACATGACATAAAATCAAATTGATTAACAAAGTGTGTTCAGAAACTGTTCAAAAAAAATTAAACTCACCGTTAATATAACTTCTTTTGTGATAGTAAAAAATCCCATGGCTGTAAAACCTATTGATGTACCAGTTAATTTAGACAGAAATAACGTCAACTGAAATATAATATTATAATTAAATATGGTAGTTAGACAGAAATATAATACTATAGTAGTTAGACAGAAATAATGTCAACTGAAATTTAGTGTCATAATGGTAGTATAGTATTTATTACATTCTTTAACAAGACAATAGTTTCCCAAGAGGTAATACGTTTAGTATGCTTCTTGGTACATTTTCACGCCCGTCAAAAAAAAAGTCACATTGGCAGGTGAGGTTGTTAGCTTAGCGAGCTAAAATGGGGTTCAATCACACACCTCTTCCGGTAACCCTGTATTTTGAAGGTATGCCGATAAATAAAAGGTACAGTGTGTCAATCACTCTATTCTCAGAATAGTTGTACTGCTACGTATTTTATTACAAGCTCCAGTAAACACCCATTGAATGACCTGTAATTTAAAGGATTCTTGTACACTAACGTTTCCCTATATGTATTTCTGATAATCGAATAGTGTAGGTGTGTTAAAATAATAAACCATACCTGACCCAATCGTTCAGTTGACAGCCCATCTGTTTCTGAATCATAGATGTGGTCCAAAGGAGAATGGCCCTACATAAAGATAAAGGCATGATACATTCATTATTGTACTGTATTTGACGTTCTAGTACCAAGCGTGATGAGGAGCCGTGGTTGATGCGCAATATAGCCCGCTTGGAGCTGACGTGCCATGATCATTTCATTTCAACCGCAGAGGCATGGCCAAAAATATGCAAGGCACCTTGTACACGTTGGCGAACACCTTAAAGAAAACCTTTTGTCTGAGGCTGGTATCAGCCTTGACAGTATTGCGAATACCCCTTTCTTTAGGAATCCACCGTGGGCTATATCTCCCCCAAAGATTGATTTCCATCTAACACAACATAAAAAGAGAGATACTAGTTCCACTGTGTTTCAGTCTCTCTTTCGAGATGATATATATAATATATATATATATATATATATATATATATATCATTTCATTTTTTAAATATTTGTATGCATAAAAGATTGATTTTATTTTTAATTTTACTTACTGTGATATTTTTTTTATTTATGCATATAATTTAGCCTGTCTCGAAATAATCACCATATGTTTGGCTCAATATAGCCCGTTTGGAGCCGGCGTGCCATTAAACCACATTTCATTTCCTTAAAGAAACCTTGACGTTTGCAATTTGAAATATGAGAAGGGATCGAGCCGCTGTACGGCAAACGTTTTCCTCATAGCACACCGTAGCACGTCTTCATTACCCCGGTTGGTGCAGAAAATTAGGACGTTCAACCCCATTTAAAATCGTGGTGCAAATTTGGTAACTGCCGGCACCTCTTTCCTAGCAAAAAATCGGGGAGGGAGTTCTGAAGGTCGGGGTTTGGGCGGTTAGGGTTTATATATACTATTCAAAAAAAGTAGGGGATATTTGATTTTTAAGTGTTATTAAAGTCACCTAATGAAACTGACGAAGAAACAAATGACAAAATGAAATGAAGTTCACATTCATCGATTTATTCCAAATGATCGTTAGACTAAGTAAGACACAGACTGACCATTATAAGGGTAAAATGATACCAGGGGTCAAACAGCAAAGTTACCACAGCATCACAACCAACAGTGAACCTTGACTCATCTGAAAACATCACATTGCTCCAGCGTCGATTATCCCAGTGTTGACGATCCCTACACCAACGACGTCTTGCCTGAATGTGATGATCTCTCAAACAAGGGATCACGCGAGGACGTCGGGCGCGAAGGTGACCCCTATGCAGTCGATTCCGAATCGTCTGGCCACTCACTCTCACACCAGTGTCTGTTTGAAGACGAGCGCTGATCTGATTTGCTGTGATGACACGATTTCTCAAGGCCAAGGTACGGATAAATCGACCCTGGGCTTGAGTTGTCGCCCTTGGTCGACTTGAGCGTGGTCTGTCCTGTACAGATTGTGTATCACGGTATCTGGACCATAGCCTGCTTATGACAGACTGAGAAACATTCATCGTCCGCGCCACAACCGCCTGTGTTGTGCCGATCTGTAGCATGCCAAGGGCACGTAACCTTTCATTTTGGGTAAGCCGACGCATATCAAAATTTGTTTTCTGGTCACTAAAACAATTAAACTGATGTTTCCACCCTGGAATTCAATGCCAAAATGACTGTAACATTCAAAGTCAGAGTCGTGCAAATCTTGAGTTGGACCCCCATGATGATCCCAAGCATCACCTGCATTCCATGCAGTAGCTATTGGTGCGTTTGGGCGTCACATGTAACTGGAAATGTTTCTTCTGTTAGGTTCTATAGTGACTTTGTTCGTAGTCATTTGCATATTTTAGTATTATGCCCCCAAAATCAAATATCCCCTACTTTTTTTGAATAGTATATATCAGAATAAATAAGTTGAATTTTATTACTTCTGACAAATTTATTAAAACAGGATACAAAGTTTATATAATATTATGTTCATCTTAAATACTCACATACTGTGCTATGCATAGTTCAATTGTTGAAGTTGGGGAATGCTCACTAGTCCTCTGGTTCATTAGTCCACCGTGGCTAGGGTTAGGATTAAGATGCACTAGTCCGCCGGTTCTTTAGTCCACCGATATCTATTATTAGGGATTGGGGTAGGGTTAGGATGCATTAGTCCGCCGATACCTATTATTGGGGTTCATTAGTACACCAATATCTATTGTTAGGCTTCGGGTTAAGATGCACTAGTCCGCTGGTTCATTAGTCCACCGATATCTATTATTAGGGTTAGGGTTCGGATTAGGTTTTTTGATACCCATATTTATAGTATTTCTTATAGTGGCGGACTAGTGAATCCCTCTCTTGAAGTTTATGTAACGTTCATCTTAAATACTACTGATAGGTATTACTTAGATTAGATTTCTACCACATCTGTGAATCAACCATCACATCATAAACTATACAGACGTGCAATACTTCTGGCTTTTTCTTGGACTTCACTGTTGTTTTTCTTTCAGTGATCAAAACTACAGACTACAGTTCAAGTTCTCAGTTTTATTCTTCCAACAATCTAAGCAATTGGTAATCACAACTGTCCCCCGTTAAGAATATTATTTGGCTTGTTATAACTGTTATGATAGTCTGCGTGAGTTCTCCCGAATTCCAGCTCGACTCGGGGGGTTGGATGGCCGAATGGTTAGCACGTGCGCGCTGTATCATGAGGCATGTCATTGAGTCAACCGGCTTGGTTTCGAATCCTCGGTTGTACGTCACGAGGAATAGGGTTGCCTGTCCAACCTCGTGGGTTTTCTCCAGGTCCTCCGGTTTCCTTCCACTGCTAAAGACCCCTACGCACAAGCGAATTATTGAAATAAAATTTAACCATGTTAGTCCCGAAATGACCTAGTCATTTCTCGCTTTCTCTCTCTACCCCGGCTCTCTCTTTTTATAGGTACCTATTTTTTACCTGTGATATTTACGTAAAAGACTGATAACAGCTAAATTTCAAATATGGAATAGACATGCAACATACCCTGGATATCGACTGGGATTGTCACTTAATTTGTTCAACAAATATGATATACGTTTTATAACAAAGAAATGTTATAAAATGTTCATTAATCTATAGCTCAGTTAACGTATCAAAACAACCAGCATGACTTGCTATAATATATTGATTATCAATTAAAGAATTAATATTTGGATAAAGATCAAAATATGGTTATTGTTACCACCATCATATTGTTACAGACGTCAGACGTCATAAATAATTAATGAGTAAAATATTGTTTAAACTAACTGTTAGGGGGAAGTAACTGCAACCAATACTGTGTTAGTCGAGAAATGGCCCGAAATGGCCTAGTTTGTGTCTAGTGGACGTTAAACCCAATCTCTCTCTCTCTCGCTCTCTCAAATGAGATAGAAATAACTGTAACCAATAAGGTAGTTTATCGCTGCTGATGTTGTCACATCATCATAAATGGATTATGAGTCCAGCGAAAACATTGACGTCACTGGACCGAAGAAATAGCCCGTACCGCTATTTGACCGGAAACATTGACGTCACCGGACCGAAGAAATAGCCCGTACCGCTATTCGACCGGAAACATTGACGTCACCGGACCGAAGACAAATCCTGTACGCTTTTTGGCCGGTATAAAACAGTAAATACTGACAACCATTATTCTGTACCCGGCATCAGACTCGGACAGTTCACCACAATATATCGGTGCATACTAGTTAAAACAGTTATATTTAATGCAAATGTCACCGTGAAAAGTCTTAACTTTACCACGCACAAAAATTGTACGGCTCCCCCGTTTTAACCCGGGAGTAATCCTTAATATGCTAGAGCTTACCAAAGTAGCTTAAGTAATAATAAATCAGTTAATTCGTACGTTAATTAGATACAAGATAAAAATAGTAATTAATTCTAAATTAAACAATGAATACTCCATCCGAGCAAACACATATGCTCGCCTACCACGTCTCTTAAAGAAACAGACATAGTATAATCTACAGCAGTTACAATTAGGCCTATATTCCATTTGTTGCTTAATCATCAACCAGTGTAGTTATGTACTTGTAGATATTGACAGCAATTCCCCTGACAACTGCTACAGGTATTAATTTTTACGAACCAACAACTTTAATCGCCGATAATATTGATATTTTTAAACGAATACTGAACATTGATATATCTTGTTATCTAAATGATAGGAAAAAATATAGCCACGGGTTTGTATAAGGTGGAACTGGTCAATTACTTTATCTTTCATGAAAGGGTTCTTACAATTCAACAAACTCCCATTATATCTTCAAAGGCCGACTTAATGATTGGACAAAAATAGCCACAAGCTGAACATAATTTGTGTATGGGGGGATTAGTCAATGAATTTGTTTTTTATGAAAGGGTTTCTATAATACAACAAAGTCACATTAATAATTATTTTCTGATCTTACTACTGAAATATTCCCCTAGACATTTCGAATTTAATAAAGAGTAGGCGAAAAGCCTATTGTCCAATCAAAATAGAGACTTTTGGCGAGCGTAATTTCCTGGTCCGTATCGCGTATGGATTTTGCGTGTGACGTCATCAATGTCTGTGTATTTCTCATACGGCACACGGATACGGCAGCACGTATGGAACGGCTTTCATACGGAAATGGTCCGTATAACACTGTCGTCTTTTTACCCTCTTTTTTGCTACTTTTCGACGCTGAAATGTTGCATCATAGCGTTTTTATGAATCTATGTGTATCCTGGAACCCGAAGGTGTATATTTGATGTGATTTTAACAGTGATAACGACTGCAATTTAATCATTATTTTTGATGGGTTTTTCCCGGAATTTTCATATTTTTCCCGCATGTCTGCATACTGGTTGATCTATGGGCTAAACTTTCTGAAATGATACATTAGTGAAACCAAAAATTGCTAAAATCTGCCAAAACTCTAAAACTACATTGACGCAACGTATCACGTATACGATACGGATACGGATGGGAAAAATCCGCTTGCCAAAAGTCTCTAATGTCCTTGAAAACGTATCCGTATAGCCCGGTTGTTGCAGAACTGTAACACGTTTCATGTTATTTAGTATAAATAA